GGCTGGCGCCTTAGCCGGTTGAGCTATAGGCGCCGAGCCTACAACTTGATTTTTTTCAAAAAGTCAACAGGGTTGTGCATGGTGGCTCATGCCTATAATCCTAGCACTTTGGGATGCTGAGGCAGGTGGATTGCTTAAGTTCAGGAGTTCAGATCAGCCTGAGCAAGAGCAAGACCCTGTCTCTAAAAAATAGCCAGGTGTTATGGTGGGTGCCTATAGTCCCAGCTACTTGGGAGACTGAGGTAAGAGGATCATTTGAGGGTTGGTTCCCATAGCTCAGTGGTTAGTGTGCCAGCCACATGGCACTGGGTCTGGTGGGTTTGAACCTGGCCCGGTCCTGCTAAACCAAAAAATAAAAAAGCCAGGCATTGTGGTGGGCACCTGTAGTCCCAGCTACTCGGGAGGCTAAAGCAAGAGGATCACTTGAGCCCAAGAGTTTGAGGTTGCTGTGAGATGTGATGTGAGGGCACTCTACCAAAGGTCACAAAATCGGATTCTGTCTCAAAGTCAACAAACTGCAAGCATCTGTTAATAAAGGTCTTAAATAATTTTTAAAAAGACTATCGCCAAGAATTCCACATCTAGCAAAAACTAACCTCTCATAGTGAAGAAATTAAGATATTTCTAGATTAACAAAAGCTCAGAAAGTGTAATGCTACTAGACTTGCCTTATGAGAAATACTAAGGAGAGTGTAAGAAATCCTAAAAGGGCTGGGCGCCTGTAGCTCAGTGGCTAGGGCGCCAGCCACATACACCTACACCGGAGATGGTGGGTTTGAATCCAGTCTGGGCCTGCCAAACAACAATGACAACTCCAACCAAAAAGCTGGGCGTTGTGGTGGGCACCTGTAGTCCCAGGCACTTGGGAGGCTTAGGCAAGAAAATCACTTAAGCCCAAGAGTTTGAGGTTGCTATGAGCTGTGATGCCACGGTACTCTACTGAGGGTGACATACTGAGACTCTGTCTCCAAAAAAAAAAAGGAAATCCTAAAAGGAGGCCTGGCCGGTGGCTCACACCTATAGTCCTAGTACTCTGGGAGGCCAAGGTGGGTAGATCGCCTGAGCTCATGAGTTCGAGACCAGTCTGAGCAAGAACAAGACCCCGTCTCTAAAAATAGCTGGGCATTGTGGCGGGCACCTGTTGTCCCAGCTACTTGGGAAGCTGAGGCAAGAGAATTGCTTGAGCCCAACAATCTGAGTTGCTGTGAACTGTGACACCATGGCACTCTACCAAGGGTGACAAAGAGAGACTTGTCTCAAAGAAAGAAAAAGAAATCCTAAAAGGAAATGAAGGCACCAGAGAGTAACTTGAATCTACCTGAAGAAATAACACCAGTAAAGGTAACTATAGGGTTATATAAAAGGTAGTATAAAAGTATTTAATGTTTGTAACTTTTTTTTCTTATTTAAAATACAACTGCATAAAGCAGTATAAATCTCTGCTGATGGGCACATGGTATATAAAGTTACTATTTGTATGACAATAGCACAAACGAGGCAGGGAGGAGATGGGGCTATATATGAGCATAGATTTTGTATATTATTAATTGAGTTGGGATTAATCAAAATTAGATTTTTTTTTTTTT